AGATTACTTAATTTAATGTTACAGATAAAATTCTAGATCCTGAAACAAGGGACGCTGGAAAATCTCTTTCCTAGAAAATTGTGGCCAGAGCCGAAATTTGCCTGCCTATAACTTTTACTCATTGCCCTTGGCAGCCGCACAATAAATACCCCACTTCCACCTGCCGCCCTTCTTGAAGACACAGAGCCCATCCTCCTTCATCTGCTCTTCTGCAGACCAAACATGCCAGGTCACAGGACGGGGTTTCCAGGCCCCTCACGATTACGGTCCCCCTCCTCAGGGGAATCTCAATTGCTCAGCATCCCTCTGGAAATTTATACCCAGAGCACAGTGTTTGCGGCTTGGCACATCCTTGGTGCTCCATAAACTTGAACTGAATGAAGCAGTCCACAAACACCAGGGTATACCAGAACTATTCTCCCCTTTTCTCTACACATTGCACTTGTACTAATGCAGCCTGAGCGTACATGAGCTCCTCCAACAGGGATTTCCACGTGCCTACTGGCTTGGGTGTGCAGGGGTGCAGGTGTGCAAGGCTGATACGCACCGGCCTTGGGGGTCCTAATAAAGAACTGGGTAGTGTAACAGAAAAGGTGAAATGTGAAAGCAAACACTCTAGTCATGCAGCAAAAGAAACTTATCAGTGACAAACTCGGAAGGTCCTGCTTCCCTTAATAAATCTGGACTGCAGGTTATTAAGTGCAGTCATTAGTGCTGACCAACACATATTTCTAATTCTCTTCCCAGGTGCATGGTAGAAATGCACTTTGCTGCCCCCTTGCGGTTAGGAGTGGTCACATGACTTGCTTTAGCCAATGAAATGTGTGAAAGAGCCAGTGCACAGTTCACCAAAGCTCCCTTTTTCTTGCCTTTGGCAATCATGGAACCAGAGATGAAGCCTCCCTCAGCAAAGGTGACAGAGAAGAGCCCCTTAGGTAACACCTGTGATGGACATGGAGTGAAAGTGAGAAATACACGTTAATTGTTTTAAGTCACTGAGATTTTGTTTGATGGCCCTACGAACAGACCCTCGACTATCCTGAGTGACTCTCTATTATTGATGCAAAAACTAGAATACTCAGAGCTTATATTCTCTGCATCTACCAGATCACGGGCTTTCATATCATGTCTCTCCCCCTTGCTTGTAATCTGTAAGATGGGAAACCATCTTTTGGTGGGCATGCATGTACCTGTTACACCAAGCAGCTCAGGTGAGCCCCACCTGCCAACAGTGGGGGAGATGTGCTATCTGCTCACATCAGTAATGCTCTAAAGGAAGTCACCACAGAGACCATTTTTATTTTCTTCCCACAGGAGAAGAAACCCAAGGTGATTTGACTAACATCCATCTAAGAGTGTCACTGCAGCCCAGGGAATGACGAGTATCTGGAGGAGACTCAAGGCTGAATGGAAGAATCTGGGAATAATTTAGGAGGGATGGGAACAGAAAGTTGTCTACATCTGTGGTACTCAAACTTTTACCTGAATCAGAGTCACCTAAAGACTTATTAAGGGCCAGCCGAGTGGCGCGGTGGTTAAGAGCTGGCTTGGGACGCCAGAGGACCCCGGTTCGGATCCCACATATGAGGGCCAGTGACACTGCCCTCTACAGCTAAGATGGTGAACAACAGCTCAACCTGGAGCTGGGCTGCCTTGAGTCGCCGGTGACGGCGTAGGCTGCAGCCCCTGCTACAGTGGGTTGCCATGGGCTACTGTGTGTAGCCAGCAGCCAGCGTGAGCGGCCAGCAGCCAGCGTGAGGGGCCGTCCAGAAGCTGGCAACTGATCTGCCTCACTCGGGAAGAGTGCAATGATGGTGCCAACTTGAGCCAGTGAAGCAACGTCCTCCACAACTAGACTGAAAAACAAAAGGACAGCAACTTGTCTGTTCCCCTTCCCCCCAATTCCCAGCGCTGTTCCCATCCCCCAATTCCCCAATAAAAATCTTTAAAAAAAAAGACTTGTTAAAACACAGGTTATGCAGGATCCCACCTCCAGACTCTGATTCAGTAGGTCTGGAGTGGGTTCGAGAATTTGCATCTCTAACAAGTTCCTGGGTCATGCTGCTTCAGAGACCATACTTTGAGAACCCCTGCTCTGGAAGGATTCACTCACAGAAATGGGGTGAAGCCTCTGGCAAGAGGAGTCAATGTGGCCTCAAGAGACGCTCTTCGGAAAAGGAAGGGAGCCAGTTTTCCTTTTTCTACCCAACACAATCTGAGAGCGATGTGTGAAGGACAAAAATGATCATCTTGGCCTTTTTTCCTTACCACACAACAAAACCAAGCTGCTCTTTACAAGATTATAATAGTAATCTTATTTGTTGGCACATTTAAAAAAAAAAAAAAGAAGGTTTCTGAGAGGAGAAACCTTCACTCACCCTCCAGATCTCTACCAGGAGGTAAAGCCGCGTGTATTTCAGGAGGAAATTATTGAGATAATTGGCTGCAGCCTTGTCTCCAACATTATCTCCACACTGCCGTTCCCAAATCTCCACAACACATCAGTCTTCTTGCTCTCTGACCTCACCAAGGCGGGTCACACTTCCCTCAGCTGTCAACGACCCTCACACACGTGCACACTTATCCAAATCCTCCCCCTTCCTCCAGTTTAGGGCCAGACACGTCAAGAAAGTCTTCCCTCTCTTTCATCCCCATCCCAGCCAATCAATCACCAAGTCCTGTCAACTTTACCTCTCAAGTATCGCCAGCATCCATCCATCCAGTGCTCTTCATTTTTCGCTCTAACTCCCTAGATCCCCCCATGCTCTATCCTCGCTGTCCTCGAGGCCTTTGTGCAGGTTGTTCACCCTGACTGAACAGGTCTCAATTTAAACAACATACCTTCCCAGGATGGAGAGGCCTTCCACAACCCCTAAGCCCTCTTTTATCAACCCCCATGGAACCCTTTGTTTCCTCTGTCATCAGCACTGATCCATTTGTGATCTCCTGTTTAAGTGTCTATCTTCCCTATTCAACCGTAAGCTCTTTACAGACAGGCCCACGTTTGTCTTACTTGCTGCTGTAACTGCGTAGTGTGGCACTGCCCCTGACAAAATGCAGGCATTTACTAAGTATTTAATGAGTCAGTACAGGAATCCCCGCATCAGTTCATAGGAATCCCCACGTCCTTTCAATGCCGAAAGCACATTCTGCCTGCTTCAAGGAATGTCTGGCCATATAGTTGCACCCACCACCTGAGAGAAGCACTCCTTATGACATCCAGGAAATGGGGTCTACAGGGAAACAGTGACCCTTGGAAGAGGGAATATCTTTTCCTTGGAACCTGGGTAGAATTGACACAGCTGGTTAGTGATAAAAAGTACAGAAAAAAGCATTTTTCTAGAAGCTCTTATTAAAGTTGGTAGCTTCCCAAATTAAGCACTCTGATGATGGATTCCCTACCCAGACCTTTAACAAGAACAGGCACTCTTGTCTCCAGGACGCCTAAGAAAGGGGGCTGAACTCCGTGACCTCCCAAGAGCTTCTAACCTTCAGGATTCTATAAACAAACTCATTCCGAGCTGGAATTTGGAGAATCCACATTCTGGTTTTGTTTTTACACACCAGTTCTTTCTCCATGTAGGAGACAGGACAGTCTTTACCTTCCTCCCACTCTCTCTCTAAAGTAGTAATGCTTTTCAAAGTCGGACCCCCAACCCCAAAGTCTGGCAACCATGTCTCATGGGCCACCAGCATCAAACTAATTTAACAAGCAGCCTCTGATTAGGGCCAGGGTTAGACCTGACTGAAGAGATCACGCTGGAATGACATCCTGGCATTTCTACTTCTAGCCAAGCAACTTTGGGCAAGTGACCACTTTTTTGAGTCCCAGTGTCTTTATCTATGAAATGCTGATGACCCCACCTCTCAGGATCATTGCACTAAATGAGATATGCACGTAAAATCCCCAGCACAGAATAAACATGCAAGGAATGTCAGTATTATTGTAATTATAGATTTCTAGTTTTAAAAGTTCTGTAAAATGATTATCCTAAGCTGAAGGCACTATAGAGATGAAATGATATGCTTGGAATTTGCTTCAAAGGAATACAGGGGGTGGGGGGGAGGGTACAGATGAAATAAAAGCAGCCATGTTTTGGAAATCACTGAAGATGGGCGATGAATACATTGGATTTATTACTGTATCTTTACTTTTGTATATGTCTGAGAGCCTCCATAACAGAAAGTTTAAAGCTGTAAGTACCGAGAGGGGAAATGCTATAAAAACAAAAATACTGACAGTTTATTTTAAGATCATATTTGGCCTACGTGAGTGAACACAAGAAAAATGATCTGAAGAAAAAAACGTAAAGCCAACATCTCTATTAGTTTCTCTAACAGAACTGTATTCTTCAAACAGAAGTACCTCAGGTGAGCAGCAGGGGAACAGAAACACTTGCACACGTTTCTCTGTCTTCATTTTCAGGCGAAGAACACACCCTACTTGGGCTGCACGTGAACTTTTAGGTGGACAGCCTTGGGTGGCAGACCCTGCCTCTGAGCACCCAAGAGTCCCTGCTGAAATGGGACTGAGGAGCAGGCAAGTTCCGGTGTTAGGAAAAGCAAGCAGAAAGAACTCAAAATGCGCAGGGACCATGGGTGTCACCCATCCTCCTCTAAGCCCTGGCTTTGGACTCTTACGTGAGGCTTCCTTGGGATGCTGGTTTAGCTCAGTCTGAGGCTGTATTTAAGGTACTTTCACACCAGAAGAGTGTGTGTTAGATGTTGCTTGAGGGGATAGGGTTCATTCAAGGGAAAGTGAGTTTTTAAGGGTCTCGAGAAATACCAATCACCCATATCATCTCCCCCCTTTCCCCTCTTCCCACTGAGAGAAATCTAGAAATTGAAAACCAAAATTCTCACATTTCACCTTGAATCAACCAACCCACTTCAAGCCCCTCTATCTGAGAGAGAAAATAGCCCAACAGGGTTTGTTTTGAGCAAATGCCTTTAAACTCCCAAACTCTGCCTGGAAAAGGAACATATATAAAAGTACTTACTCTTCTTGAAGAATAAACTCGCTATTTTCTGGAGAAAACTGCCCACTCACAGGATGCCGGAACGCTGTGGTCTGCTGGTTATGGCTAAAGAGAGAGAAAGAGATAATGAAGGAAAAGTCATATGAAAGGAAAGGACTACAGACACAAGGTCAGTAATGTCTGAGGACCCTGACCATCACATTCACCCCGGGAGAGAAAGTGGGCCTTTCTGCTGCAAGGCACTTCATCTGTCAGAACCCAGCTGCATTTCAAAGCAGAGAACTGCCAGCTGAGGTGCCAGAGGCCACCTAAGACAAAGGGATTTTAACTCTACTGGAAGTCTTGGCTCCAAGAGAACACTGCATCCTAGGGAGACATTCCATGAAGCACTGACTCCAAGACATTGAGTGGCTTAACAAAAGTTCCTTTAAGATGGCATGAGTTAAAACAAGAATGAAGGAAAGCAGATGGCACTTTCAACAGCTTCCAAAAACCATGAACCAGGGAAAGAATTCTAAGAATTAACCACCCACCCAGAAAACTATATCTTCTTAAAATTCTTCTCCCTACTATAAAATGTCTTCACTTCAGTGATGGGATATAAATATATGGGCATGTCTCTGCAGCGTGACCCGCACAATTTCAACACTGTGGGGTTTCTACCACCCTTTTGAAGTGAGGAGGAATCAGCTTCCATGCCAAGCTGACAGACACAACCAAAGCGTGGAGGTGTTTTGTGTATTCGCAGAGGCTGCCTGGTTCTTTGAAAGGAAAGAGCTGGCGCTAGAGGCTGCTGGTTGCTCTGTGAACAAGCTAACCTAACCTTTTCCTTCTTAAAAAGAATATGATTTAAAATTTTTTGCCCCCATCACAAAATCATAGTCATTTGAAAAATTTTAGAAAATGCAGGAAAAAAGGTCACCATGGTCTCATCATCTAGAGATAAACCTGGGAATCTTCTCCTAGTTTTTTCCCCTTCTATTTAAAAAAAAAAAAAAAAGTTGTGATTTTACTGTATTTAGAAATTTATATCCTGCTTTTTTCACATCTTATTAACATAGAAAATTTCCTATGTCATTAAGACTTACACATTTGAAATTGCTGAATAATAGTCTCATCCCATGGATATGTTTTTTTTTTTCATATAACCAACAGTTCAAAAAATATTTACTGGCCATCTGTGTTCCAAGCACTGTTGTAGGTGCTGGAGATACAGAATGAACAAAAAAATTCTTTACCCCACCCCACTATTATAGTAAACCTATCTTCGAGTATAGGCTTTTTCTGCAATTCAAATTATCTCCTTGGGTTAAAATCCCACAGGTAAAATTACTGGGTCAAAGGGCACGGTCATTTTTTTAAGGCTCCCAACACAGATGGTTCAAATGCTTTCACAGTCTGAGTCAATGTACCATCTCAGTTTGGTAGTGTTAAGATATTAGCCTCATCTCCAAATTAAGCACTGAGCCATCCCAGAGATTAGTAGGTTTAAATGAGCATAGCATAAATAAAAGTAGAGTTAAAAAAAAAGATCTTTAGGTTTCCAAGTTTTTTCTTATTTTGCCCTGCGGCCTGGTTAGAGCACCCTGAGTTCTGGTGTCTGGGATAACTTGGCACTGAGGTTAGAGCAGCCTGAATCCTAATTAGCCAAATGTGAAGCCAGCAGAGCCAGGCTGCTCCCAAGCCCTGCGACTCTGCACCACCCAGCACTCTCTCGCTCCTCCCAACCCGGCCAGCCTCCCGCCTTCCAGCTCCTGGTTCCAGACAAGCCCTTAGAATCCTATGACCTCATCTGGCAGCCTGATCTCCCCCCCCCCAAAAAAAAACAGAGTAAGACATGAGCATCTAGATAAGGATGAGAAGCAGGCCCCCTGAACACCTGTTTCAGAAATCCTTGCACCACGTTTAAGGGTTTGGCTTTATTTACACCCAGTTTCTTTTAGAGAATCAGCTCCATTCACCAGGGAATTTGAAAACGCACACTCTAAAGAGCCTGCCTCATTTCCACCTGGAGGAAAAAAAAAATGCCCTGCTCACAATGGAAATAACAATAAAGCAATGCCACCACTATCCACCATCACCTCTCAAGGGTTCTCCAGTCCACAAAGCCTTTTGTTACACCTCTGAGCTGTTCACACCCGTTGACGGTATGAACGGGGAAAGCGCTCCAAGAGGTTCAGTGACTCGCTCAAGGTAACTTCGTCAGTAAGTGAAAAGACTGGGGCGTGAATCCAGGTCTTCTATTTCTAAAGTTGATGCTCTTTGTATGATAATCTGCCTTCCCCCTAAGAGTCTGTGAGGCTGGCAGCTTCATGGCCATGATCAGCGATCCCTGAAGACACGGCATCAGGGAAACAGCACCATCCACTGCTACTCCCTCTTTGTCCCTCCCTCCCTCCTTACCCTTGTGCCCAGAGCCAGAGTTCTGAATGACAACACCAATGTGGCACCCAGTAGCCCGCAAACAGCCTTTGGCCCCATCACAAAACCAGCGGGTGGGTCTCTGGGAGACGCAGCAAAGAGCGAATCTTCTATGTGCTTGGAGCAGCACCCAGCATCCACTTCATAAACAATGCACAATTTTAATAGCAACTCCGGGCTCCCCACACCCAACCTGTAACAGCTTAAATAAGCCCATGGATCTTAGATAGGTCAATCCTGAGCTGGATGGTAGAAGCACTAAGGTGAATTTTACATTCTAATGTTAGAAGGAAGATCGTTTTTAAAAGTGGACAAAAATATAACTGTCATTTCATCAGACCTAGAGTCAGCTCCCCAACCTTTTTTCTCTCATGGATGTTGCCCTTTCTGACAAAAAAAAAAAGTTAGCACAGCATCCTCACCACCATTTCCTGCATTTACACGAAGCTTTAAGTGTAGTCACCTTCATCATTGTAACTGACCTTCCCACAGAGTTAGGCAGAGCAGATATTCTCATCCCCATGTCATGAATAAAAAAACTGAGGATCTGGGTTATAGAATGTTATTGGAGCACGAAATTGAAAAAAAACAAAAGGTGGGGAGGGGCTCATATATTGAGAAAAGAGATGAACCTGGGTAATGCCTCCAGAATACTGAGGTCTTAAAATTGGATCATTTCTGATCAAACTCACCCTGCTTACTAGTGGCAAAGCTTGTGGTCCAGTACTTTTTGATCCAGGGAAGAAGCGTTAGGTCCTGGGGCTATTTTATTTCATTCAATCTTCCCAAATACCCAGTAGGGCAGGCCGTGTTTCATCACACCAGGCCCCAGGTGAGGAGAGCGAGGCCCAGAAAGGGTACGTGACTTGCCCGCAATGACAGTCAACACCCGTGTTCCTGCACACCACCATCCTTCTGATCTCTTTCTACTCCTCCAGGCTCACCCCTGCCAAACGCAGGCTGTCTATTAAATGCTGGATGTCCACACCCATTCGGAGATAGCCAGGTCCTCAGACTTGACCTGCTGTCCCCAGACCTCTTAGCCCCCAAAGCCCCCAACCTGCTCCATTTCCCAATTTTCTAAAACCCATGAAAAAATTTCATGTACTATAACCCTGTCTCAAGGCGCATTTAGCAGGCACAGACAAATCCCCCGAAATACCTGTTCTTAAACCTGAATTGCCACCTTGTTCTTTGGTAGTGATGGAGATGGCCCGGCTAGGAGCCAGGTGGCTGGTTTCACAGGCGCACAGAAACTCTCCTCCATACAAGGGCTTCTGTTTCTGTCAGGCTACTGTGGAAGTAACTTGGCAAATGAGGGAAAACACAACCTAGCCTTTCGATCCAGCTCTTCCTCCCAGGAGCAGGCCCTCCACACTGAATGGCAGCCAATGGGAGAGGACCAGGGAGAACAAATGGAAGGATACAGGGAAGTATGATCCCTGTGAAGGCGGGTAACCAACCATTCACATAAATAAGCACTGTCTTCACAGGCCCCGGGCCAGGAAAGGCTTGGGTTAGGCCTTAAAGAAGTCCAACAACAAACACAAAAGACTTGATAAGAGAACTAGGGAGCAGTGGAGACCAACTGGAGCTCAATGTAAGGAACAGCCCACCTACAACCACAAACAGGGCTAGTCAAATGTAAATGGGTCCTGGAGTTTCTTGCAATGTTTTTGTGCAAGGTTAATTTTCTATGCATATAGATTTTGACTATAATATGAGCCGTGACTCTGGTTGGTTCAACATAAAGGCACCAATTACTTAGCACGGCAATTTTTTTGGCATGGCAAGAAGTCCTGGAGTTATGTGAGTTGGACTCAGGAGTGGAGGTCAGAGCTCCTTGATGAATCTGTTTTTTTGGACAGCGGTGGTATTGGTATGCTGAGGGTGTGACAAAGCTGCCCCGTCAGCATTAGCCCTTATCTGGCCCATGCTATAAAGAGAAGTAGCAGCTTAAAGTGTAAGAGCAGTATCCAGCCTCAAAGCCTAAGGAGGTACTCTAGGAAAGCTCGCCTCATTGGGATGCTCGGCAGCATTCGCCACTCTGGGACCTTCCGGCTTCCAGAATATTATACAAAAGTCCACCCTGCAGGCCTGAAGCCACTCTCGGCACTGCCTCCAGGCTTGTTAAGGCACTTACTATCTTTGTACCAGTGTCTCAAGAAAACCAAGGATTCTGGGTAACCTAATACGCTCCTAGTTAGGTCCCCAAATTGGTAACTGAAACTCCAAGAACACAAGAAATTGCCTCCCCATCTTCTTCAGTTCCCATTTGGGGTGCAGAGTCAAGAGATAGCAACCAAGAGTTGAAACAGCGTTCCACGTTTCCTCCACATTTCTTAAGCTCCTTTGATTTTATTTTACTTAACGCTTTTACAACACTGCTTGTTGAGTGGAGTGTCGGCGCTGCTGGCGTTTCCTAAGGGGGCTGGGAATCTTACCAAAGTGGTCGTTGGAGCTTGCACTATTTTGAAAATGTCAAGAGTTTCAACAGCTCACTGCACACAGGCGTTACTCTGACAGGCTCTTCTTCCAGGAGCATGGGAATCAGGCCTTGATGAGCCAACATATGGTCCCCATCCTCTTTCCAAGTGGAAACAGCATTAACCAGCCTCCCTCAGTATCCACTCTCAGCAACAAGTCAGCCCTGAGCCCTGGGGTCAGAAGACCTGGGTTCACAC